CGAAACCTATCCGTCGGAAATGTGTCTCAACTCTGTATATCTCGTCTGAAAGAGTGTGTCCCAATTGTGACATTCAATTTAGTGAAACATTTTGCCGTAGCACGCAGATAGTGATGCTTTAAAGTGCTAGAACAAAGCATAACTCGTGTTGAGGTTTTCACTTTCTCCTATTTTCGACATATCGAAAGATCGAGGTTTAAGGATTTCTTGTTATATACTCATCGGATTAACAAAAATCGTCAGTTACTTTCAGTCAACGTGTGTTACGCATTTGATCAAGTTCCTGGCTACTTCTCACTCATTTCAGGACCTCACAATCACACTGACATCCGAGCGACCAGATACGGAAGTTGCGCTTGTACCGGATAAAAATGAATTGTGTGCGATCAACGTTCAGACCCTTGTGGACCAACAGGTGAGTGCATTAGAGTAACCTTATTCTGGTTCCGTGTTTAACAGCTTACCGTTTAATTTTCCGTGGCACACTAATTGTCAGATGGTAAGATGAAAAACATGCAACCAATGTGATGTAGCCATTTCGTTATCACAGCTAATCGAAGCACACATCTGTTTTGATTGAATGGGGACGACTTGGCTGGTGGATAGAGATGTGAAGAAAGTGGAAACCAGTATATCAAGCAGCGTACATAAGGGGCCACTGCAATTTGTGATGCAGTAGAATTGCGTTTCTCTCTTCAGGAGGACAATGGAATTTTGCTCCGGCTAAGAAACATAAATGGATTTTCAAATTTCCCTTGGATAAAAGGTTGAAATGTTGAATCATCTTGTCTCCCATATATAGTACACTAGTGATAAGGTTGGTGGAAACCAACCTGAGGCCCATTATCAATTTTGCTCGATTTTGAGCTCATTGAACAGTCTGTTTCGCCCTTGGACACGTCATTAGCAGATGAGTTTGGAAGGCAGGGGATATAAATTCACCTCGGGGTTGGAAAATTGGCTTAGAATACCTATTCTCAGTGAACTGGACGGTACAGCAAACTTGGGAAGATATGAAAAATGAGTGAAAACCATGGGACCGGTTGATGACAAAAGCTTTCACACTGCATTTTCCTGCTAGAAACCTATATTTCGTAGTTGGTACCGTTTAACTGAAAATAAACTTTTGGGCGTTTATACAAAATAGGCACCATTGACGATCTAAAGCCGTTACGCTCTCACAATTTGTCCCCCTTTTTCTGTGTGGAAATTCACCAATTTCTGTTCTGTAAACGAATGCACCCAAAAATTCGCAATATTCGCAGAGACCGTTCAAGCGACTGGACCGTCAGTTCATTCTGCAGGGGAAGTGACGTTTGAAAGTATTTCCCCAAAGATGACAAGAAGCATGTAGGTCCACCTCACCGGTTTGTCAAACTTTGCTCACACCGAATGTTATTCAAAACCGATCCTCACCTCGTTATCAGTTAGCCAGCTTGCTAAGTAAAGGGTGATGCACTGTCCGGCTGACAGGCTACATGTTCGGTACATGCGTGTGACTTGACGTCACTTGACGTTGCCCGCTCCTAGGCAGATAGAACACTTGGGCACACAAAACATGGGGTTGTATCATCGACCGAACAAAAACAGCGTTTGTTGTCGGGCCAGCTATATTTATGGCTGATCCTTATAGTGTTCATAGCTTTGTGATCCAATTCTTCCAAGCAGAACAGTTGCGCGATTATCTGATGTGCTTGCTTGACCGACACCCTTTACTATACAAAATTTTTATGGATTGCACCATGCGGTAAACAAGGAATTGAAGATACCTATCGATGAAATAAAGTTACCTGCCTTGAATGATTTAGTTCAATCAGAAGTCCGAAAGTAACAGTCGTTCGTGCTGCGTTTTTTACCTTTATTTCAGGACGGAAGCTAGGGGAATTTTACCTGCTCACATGTGTTGTCCCGTCTGGATGCCTGTGATTTTCCAGACGCCACCACTAGAAGGTCCCATACAAAATCAAATTATTCGGTTAATGCGAAACGGTCGTGAAAGTATCGTTCAGATTCAGTAACCTCCAGTCGACCTGTCTCGTTTTAGCATCATATACATATTTTAAACAACTGGTCTGTGTATGTTGGGCACAAGTCAGCTGTCGCCTGTAGCGTATGCGTACACGACCTTTACATCAACTTCCTTACATAGCCGCTTATCATAATGCCTAACGTTTTTGACACCGATTGGAGTTCTCTTTGTTAAGGCAGTTCGTTCAGTATATCAGATTATCCTCCAAGTTTCCTCGCCTAACGTCCTCAAGCCAAACAGCTTCAAAAATATGGTGCCGGGGGCTTACCACAAGGCCGTCCATATAAGATGGTTAAACAAATGGCGAAACTCCGAGTATTTGTCCAGGACTCAAATACCTCACTCTTCCGTGTAGGAATGGCGATTGCACGAACATATTGAGGTCACCCGAAGATCCGCCACGCAGGAGTACACCAACTCCAGTCAGCATCACCCTTGCATATCAGTCACGTGTCGCGCGGCTCGACGACCTGGCTACTTCTACTGGAATGTGTTTCTTATTATGGTAAGCTGACTTCACGTAGTGTCTTGTAGATCAGCTCGTAGGTAATCGTTTTATTACCCTTGTGGATCACAGAGATTTCAACTTCCTTTCCATATAGGTATAAATTGACGTAGATACTTGGTACCAGGTGATATGAAACAAATTTGGTCGGGAGTACTATGATGAACTGTGGGTTGTGAAACTGTTTAAGATTCTAGATCGGCCTCTGTCAAAAAAAGAAAGAATAATTCCAACTTAACTTCTATATGGTCGCCGATATCGGTCTTATCAAATCAGTAACAGGAGCACAAAATAAGGTGTAGCGGAAAAGATTGATAACTTCCAATTTGTGAGCCTAGGCGTGCCATAATCTGGGGGACTTTCGAACAAGTCGGCTAAATGGCGGAACAAACTGAACCCGCAGTGACTGCGTTTTTGTTTGCTGGGAATGGCTGTTTACAATCACAGCCATCTGTCAGTGAGATGTCGGTAAATCATTAGCGGATAAAAAAAGGTAAAGTTGGATCTGTTTTCACTTTTAGGAGTTATCAGGCGGCCAAATCTTTGACAACGCGATAGCTGACTTGCCAACTTCGTATAGTACGGAACATTGTGAACCGAAGCTAACCTAAGTAAAAAATGAAAGGCCGATACAAACCCCTTACTTTTGTCTGCTCACATCAAACAGCGCTCAGTTTTGCTCTGTAACTGCCTGAATGTTGTTCTCAACGTGCAATTCATTTTAGTGAGTTAAGCCTGCAAAGTTACTACAACCGCATTACAACCACTGTGCTCACTTTTTAGTTTTTTGGAACAACTATACCTTGCCCAACGCCTGAACAATATCCCTAGCAGAAAAGAAATTGTATATGCAGAGATTTCATGTTAACTCATCACTTCCAAATTATTAGTACTGACATATAGCAACTTTTTCAGTCTGTGAGCAACTAAGCACTCATCAGTCAGATAATGGGGGCAGCAGGTAAACTAAGGGCTTGTTCTCACCCCCAAAGAGCATAGGCAGACTAGCTGGTGAGGTTCAAAAACTTTTGGTTTGAGTCATCGAGCGAAGTACTGAAAGCATGGGTCGCATGAGTCAGATAACCCACGACCGGTAGGTATCTGCTGATTGTTGTTGCTAGTGGCACCTAAGCCAGGCCAATCAGGAATTGCTCCTGACATTAAGACACCTCCTGGGCCGCTTTTTGTAACTTTCTAAGCAATGAAACGTTATTTGATATGCCCATTGCCGTACGGTTTACGCTGCTGAACAACTGGTAAGGTTAAGATTTTACCTCTAATTAGATAGGACATCATCCGACATTGAATATCTTTAACTCCTTTCTTATTTCAGTTCTTCATCACCGGACTGTCTTTCGCAACATTCGCAGTTCCACCAGAGCGACCGGAAAACCGTCTCCAACTTTCATTCACTCTTTTCCTTACTTCAGTTGCATTCAAATTCGTAATCAATCAGTCACTGCCAAAAATATCTTATCTGACATATATGGTGAGTTGGAATGATATTTTGTATTACCATAGTTACCATATTTCTTTGTGCATCGAATATTTGCTCCGACAGGTACCCTGAAGAACATAGGAAAGAAAAGAAAAACCTTGAATTTCACATCACGTATACAAAAACACGATGGAGTCCAAGTTAGCGATTTCTACGGGCGAGGACTTTATATCCAACTGATCAACTACGCAGAGATTTACTGGCTTGTTCTTTTTTTGAAGGATGCATTTGTAGTAGAAAAGCATGATTCGAATACAGACCGATGAAATGCGCTCTTTCAGATGCATGGCACAAATGCTGCTCCAGAATCGAAAAATTCCCTCGCTTACCTTAAGTGCCTTTAAGCTCAGTTGCTCAAGCATACAAATCTTCTCTCATCATGAAGGAAACTACTCGCAAGGTTGCTGAAATCTCTCCGACAACCCACGAACGGCTTCGCCCTTTTTGGGGCTCATCAGCTAGGCGCAGTTCCTCATGAAAACAAAAATGATTTGCAAATGAGTGTATTTCTCGAAATCTTCTAGCTCTTTTTATGGCCTCTTTTTAATTTAGTGGTTCTTGGCTGTCGAGTGAAGAGATATTGTGGGTTGTACAGGTCCTAGTTGTTTGTTCACCTTTCAGCACTAAGTCTTTTGCCAAAATTTGAGCCGGAATTTAGTGTCTGTCCATCAATTTATGGAATTGGAATACGCGGACCATAGACTCTCTGATTCCAACCACCCGTAATTTCGCATTGCTCGGATGTAAGCTCTCACCTGGATTTCGTTGTGTATCTAACAACTTGGACTCACTTCATTATTCATTCCTCTGTGAGGATTTTCCCGGTCATTCCCTGATCGACTGGTGATTCTGCAGTCTAACTTTGGTTTCGTCTGTCAACTAATAGAAATATGGATGAGAAAACAGGAGAACTTGACAGTGACTGCAATTTCAAATATACTAGTTTTTAATTTAATATTGACAACCGTGACCTCGACAATTTTTGTAGCTTTATTTTTGGCATTCGATTTACACGGTATAGTTTGGGACGCGCAGAAAAACAGTAGTAAGGAACGTCCAAACTTGAGTTCAGATTAACATGAAAAAAACAGGCGCGAATTTATCCCACAAAGAGCTTTGTAGCTCTACAACCAAAAAGCCTAGAGGACGGGCTAAAGCGACTTTGATAGCAAATAAAGAGTTGGATTCAAGCGGTACTTTAACAAGCCTTATGTGATACACCATAAGACCACCTCCGAAAAAGAACTTTGAAAGCTACCATTGACATTTTGTTCCACGGATTTAGCTGACCTGTCAAATATTGTGTATCATGATCTTTCAAGGTAACAGATTTGAGAAGCAGTTCAGATGTAAACGGTTTAGGTTGAAAAAAGTAGTTTTTTTCTTCAGAATTTACAGTAAGAGTTGATGTTTGTGTTCATTTTGGACATAATGAGACCGGTTCTGAGGCACACCTTGTTTAGTAAACTGGTGGCCGTATTTTGTCTTTCTGAATTTCCAAGTGCATCAACTCTCAATGAAGCATTATCAAAATCTTACGTCTTTCATCTCCTGCGTCTTTGAAGTCACTTGTATTAAGTTGCATCTAGCCCCCATTTATCACAGTAATACCTGGATGTTTATTCATTCTTCACTGAACCAGTAAAAAGCGCGAGAAAGTACTTAGCGGACAGTAAACTCACATGGCAAAATTTGACCCAAAAGTTGTGCGGTAAAGCACTGGTAACCATTCATATTCACAACACCTCCAATGCTTCTGGAAGTTCTACTTCAGCTTTGACCACATCTCAACAAAATCCAAATTTCACTTATTCGCTTAGGTCAAACAATTTGGTATTGTAACCGCTGCAACTGGTGTTCACCCTACTCCAAAAGTGCTTTCAGCATTAACTTCTACTCCTGGCTGTAATGAGTAATACAGTAAACCTAACCAAACATTCTTTAAAACAGTGAACCCAATTATTTTGATGATTAATTTTGCGCTGAGACGTTATCTCAGGGATATTTTTACAGACTTTTGCCGGAAGATGTCCCAGAATGACCAGCCAACCCGGTTACCTTTGAAACAGACGTAAAAGGGGACATTGTAGACGTTTTAGTTGGAATTAACAGAGTCAGAACATCCAACTTTCTCATTATGAATCGAATTTCCTCACAAACCTAGTAGCTTATCGTTTTGAACAATTTAACCAATCGATATTCATGTCGAATCCTGAGTTCCGCTAGAAGACGTGTGAGTCCGGTTTAACTTCGTCCTTTCTTCCTCTTGTTCGTTTATCTATCATTTGTCAGTCTAAGAAGTCCCTATCTCATGTATCTGCCTTAAGTAACTACCTCCGTTTTATTAGGAGAACTTAAACGGGGAAGGAAATTTCCCTCAATCGTTTAGTTGGACACCATTTCTCAGACCATCAATTCAGCCTTACACTGAACTGTCAGACTGTCGGCAACAAACTAACGAGTTGCAACGTCTGGATAGCATCATGTGGTTGACCCACATAGACTGGGTGAATTCGGGGCAAACCGAAAGTGAACACGAAATCACGTGATTGATTGGATGAAGAATGAATGGCGCTATATTCTGTCCAGTTAGACACTGCTTCTTAACCGCTCGTGGCCCAAAAAATGAGTATTCTTGTGCTGGTTTGTGGGGTATGTACTGTTCCCATTCACATCACTCTCATTTGAATTGTCATCCTAATGAGTCATTCTAATGAGTCCACACCAAACAGGGCGACCACCGGACTTACGCCAATTAGAACTCATCAGCAGCGCATATAGTATGGTCGTACCGGGGTCGGATCGCCTCGCATGTCAGATGTCCGGAGTTCCAACCCCGGCACGACCATAGTATGTGCACTACTGATGAGTTCTAATTAGAGTGGAACTCGAGTCCGACGCCTCCTCGTTTGGTGGGGACTCACCAGAATAATTACGTCAGCACAGGAGGATGAGAGTTCAAATGAGAGTGGTGTGAATGTGAACAGTTTAGTATTCGTTTGAATTATCTTTTCGAATATCTTAGAGATTCATTATATGCACATTACTCGTGATTCCAACTAAGGATGGGATTGCTGTACAGTGCTTCTCGGCCTGTTGTCATAGAGTTTTTTTAATTGCAAAACAAAATCTCCATCGAACCGTAATAAGTCCGCATGATTTGAGTACTAGCTTGTTGGCTTAAATTCCCTCAAACTTTTATATCAAACTGTGAATCCCCTAATCACAACCTAATGTAGGAAAAGCAGAAATACCGTGCAGCATAAGAGATTTCCAAAACCGTTGTAGAACGCTGAGTACCAAGGTGACATTTAAAAAAATTCTACTCTTTCTAAAGCATTCCGTAATTTAACTCATGATAAATTTTCTCCGTTTTTGAAAAATGGGTGAAAATTTTATCCAAGCGAAGTCATTTAGTGGTTGACCAAGTTAAGTGGTTTCCGTGATTGAAGGATGAGCTACGCTATATACTATGCGGGGCTAATCACGCTGTTTTTCAGTGGCCAGAGGATGAAAGTGTGTGTTTAACCACAGATCTGATAGTCGTGTTTTTGAAACTCAGTTTCGTCGGATGTGAGTTTTTGATTATTCCCAATAGAAATGACTAGTGGCTATTGGCTCACTTTAACAGAGATTGGAGGCAACATGTCTGCCCCAGGATCAGTAAATGTTAGCTTCATACCTTGTAACAACGTTGAACACATTCTCCTATGTACCAATTTTGTTGAATCTTTGGTACTATGTGACAAGGAGTGTTGGATGCGGGACGAACGCGCACAGTAAACAAGATTGTAATGGTCACCCGAGACATAGAACGCTTACGCTTCAAAAAGTTCTACAATAGTTAGTAACGCCCCCCTAGCTATGGGGACTCAAAATGTCGGTGAGCTAGTGATCATCTTTCCCAAATATCTTTGGAAATTTTTGTGTAACTATTGGACGAAATTTGTTGTAGCCACTTTGATCTTACTTGAGATAATATAGCATGTGTGTCTATGCGTTTTGTTGACGTCCAAAACTGATTTATCGGTTAGCAGTGATCAAATCACTGGTGATGACAGGAATCGCTTCCAATCTTGCTTTGGTGTAGTTTTATCTTCATCGCATGAAGGGTGAATTCTTACAACAGTAGAATGGCATGGTACTGATTGTTGTTTATGATGATGATACACTTTAACCACACCAGCTTCACACGCTGCACACGTGACGGGCTAAAGTGCTTTTCAACAACAAATTGCAGAAGCCTTTGAACCGGAGCCTTCCCTTCTTACAGCAACCTTTCACTCAGTAATAATGATCCCATTTCAATCACGTTTAATAAATTATTCATTGTGATGAAGGATGTCTTCCCAACCCATCAGGGTGATCAGACTTTTTGGAGCTTTCTCTCTCCCTCAATAAGGATTGCCACGTCACTGTCTGCACAGTTAATCAAGCTTTTCCGTTTTCGTGAAAGATGCGTAAAATAACTGATTTTACGTGTGATAATCAACCGCAAACCAAGTCATAACCTAGTGAGCTATCTATCGGCTAGCGATCTGAACTCTTAGTTCATAGGTTGCCAGCGTTGTGATTGTGCGCAGCCGACAGACCTTCTAAGCGCAACTAAGTTTGTTGTATATTTACGTGTTCATTCTTATCGGGGCCGGTGAATAAACACTAATGAAGTCTAGAAAAAGACCCCGAGAGTGTTTGCAGTCGTCTTTATGTGATTACTAAATCCTTAATCCTACGCTCCCTAATGAGTCACGACCTCTAGTGATGGAGTATTTTCTCCCAGTGTGAAAAGATCCACGTAACCCTGATGGCTATGTACAGCTCCGTCGGTCGATTTCAGATCGATCAATGCTCTCTAGGGTAATCACTATCCTCATTCGGCCGTCTGTTTCCCGGCACTTTTCACCCAGTTTGTTGTGTCCATGTGGCTGCTGATCCAGTGAAGTTATTTTTAATTTGACGCAAAGGATGAGTTTGTGGATGGTGTGGGCAACTGAAATGCGATTGACACAGCGCTGCATAAGATTGACGAATTTTTGAAGTCCCCTTCCACGAACTAGAGGAACACTTAAGTCAAGAGAGAAAGAAAGAAAGAAAGAAAAAAGAAAGGGTGGAAGAAAGGGAGAACTGAAAGTGCCAAATATCTCTGTTACTTTGGATGTTTGCCAGGTTGAAGTGCGACATGATAGCATTTCCAAAAATAAATATCCTAATTAATGCTCGAAATCAAAGGAAGGATCACATGATTGTTCTACAAGAATTAAATATCATGACCATCCGGACGTCTGGAAAATAGATACCGTCATTTGTTTCTTAGGAAAACAGATCTTTTCACAGCTGCCAGCTTTACTGATCCTAGTAGCGGTGACGTGGAAGTTAATGTGACGTTCCCTAAAAAAATCTGCAATATGTCCATGCCGCTGTCACATCAGAAGAACACGTTAACCGTTGAGATAACGAAAAACCAATCGAAAAAGCAACCTGGTATGACGAACAACTAGCCCTTAGTGAGGAAATCTGCCGCTCAAATTAGTCAGTTACATAGTTTGACAGGTGGATCGTCCGGCGTGCTGTACAGCAAAAAGATGGTGTTGTGACAAAGTGACAGTAGGTCCAGACAACCGGTGTCCGTGCGACAGATGTCCGTCAATTAAAAGCTTGACGCGGGATATGCTTGTAGGTAAACATTTCGTCACAATAAGTTACAAATGACAGTAAACCTTATGGCTGCGCAGAGAATCAGTATTCGTTTTGACTATACTTGTTCAAGCGTAATCCAGTTGCTGCGAAAACGCAGCATTTGAACCGAAATTTTGTCTTCAGCTAAAAATGTAAGACCGTTATCAGCAGATGGAATTTATTTGTTCTCATACAACTATTTGCATCACATTTTCAAGCCTATCGCTGGTCACAGCGGACAAACGAAATCAGGTTTAAACCGAAATGAGATTTGTTATGGGTTTTCTGGAACCGATCAATTTTCTGAGTTAGTCGGGATGAAACACAATTGGCGCACCATCATTCCAGTTTGTTTGTCCTCTGGAATGTAACTATGAAACCCAGTACAATTAAGACAGAAAGTAATTTGTTTCCATTTACTACTGAAAAGCAGTAACCTTATTACAGACTTACATTTCTGCATCAGCCACTGCAATCAACCGACTGAAAATGGAAGATCTTGAGAACGATCAACTAAAGTAAAATGTAAAGACCAGATAAAAATTATCCTTGATGTACCACTGACTAGAAGGCCGATGAAAACTCTTCGACGGCCCACATCAGTTTTTGGACTCCTCTGGTGGGCCTAGGTCACGGCAAAATATGATTGACGAAAATTTGGAAAGTGCATTTATCAAATGATGCTCCAGTCTTCAAATTGCACTTAGCTCATCGAAAATCAACAGAATTATGGGTACAACCACTCCAATGGAAATGCTCTGGGATTCTAAACACTGTTTTAACTGAATTATGTGGTGGCCTTCATATATCAACCTGGTTAATGAAGACTACAAACAAGTTTAGTTGGGCATCCATGAGAACCAATTCAATTCGCAAACACCCTATCATATGGGGCAAAATTTAATTCTGTTGTGGGGTTTATATATCACTTGAGGAGTCATATTACTTATCCTCTATTTGTGATAGGATAGGCTAAGCTCGTTTCTTTATGTGGAAGCGAGTTGAATTGCTATGCCTACAAGATTAAAAATGGGACGGACGGACAGTGTAAACGACGGTGAACGATCACATTAATCGTGAGTGACACTGCAAGTTATCGCAAGATATCCACTAGCACTCATCAAGAGCTCATGCTTATGAAGATGCAGAAATTAGCAACCTTATCCACCCGTAGAGAATCGTGATGTCACTACTTTTACTAGGTTGTTACAAATTTCATCCGCATACTTAACAAATGAAAAAAATGAAAAAAAGAAGCCTTTAAGGACAAATGCGTTTTTGTGTTATTTGAGAGACACCAGTTCAACGTACAGTGAATTCTTTCAGGAGAAAACACGTGACATAGCCACGGCGCTTGACAAGAAGGAAGAATGAATATCCAGTTCTTTCGCATATTTCCACCGAAGAAGGTTGGAAATTTGGTCCACGAGCTCCCCGGGATCCTGATACTCAGTAGAAACTTCCAGGTACAAAACGACTTTTGTCACTTCTGCAAAGTGGTATCACCTGGAATTGATTTGACGAGAGAGGAACAGAGTTACTTGGAGTGACGTGAATTTAGAGTTGGTAAAACTCGGTGGAAAATGACATCTTGCGATATGGTCAAAGGGATTCACTGCTAACAGTGAAAATTACCGTTTTCAGTTCAGTCAGGAGGAAATACTTTATTTAGCACACGTTAGGGAATTGTGGTTGTGCTAGTTAGAAACGGAAAAAACGAAAGTTTCAACGTTTGAAACATGTAAGTGCAAAGTAAATTTCAGTGAGATGCGCTACCGACTCCTTGAATTCTTTATATTTTTATGGAGGTGTTCCTGTAACAATGCGACAAAATTTTCTCTGTAGGCCTTCTGCATATATAAGGTTGCCATTTTTCATCATTGGAATAGATTTTATCTCCTTGTAATGGTCATCTCTATGCATAAAATTTTGAACCCTCCGGCAGATACCGATTTTTCAGCCAAGCACGGCATGCAAATTGATAGTAACACCTGTGCATGTTCTTAGATAACTGTATTTCTATTACCATTTTTCTCAGGAACCTTCATATACGCTGCCCTCATTACGTGCATACTGTATAGAGCTGCAAATTAAGGGTTAGTCGTGGAGCCTTGACTTCTGTATCAGCTACCCATCATCCGCTTGTGGTAGAATTTGGGCTACGCTGTGATGTTCGCTAATTCTGTATAGAACCATTATCCGCAGGCACCTTCCGGTAGATTACCCAAGGCGGATCAATCTGTCTTTCGATTTGCAAAGCGGTCCTGGCCCTTTAATCACTTTATCCGCTTCTCTGACGGTCTCATAAACCCGAAATCTTACTTGCGGTGTCAGTTTTAGATCAAGATTAGCGGAAATCGGTGAGCAGGCGAAGAAATCAGTTCAAGAGCTTCAAGCTGTGAGACGCTTACATTTAGGCTCAGAGGTTGTGTACACAATAACTTTGAAATTCGCAAGTGAACTTTGTTGACGGAACTTACGTCAGAGAACAGTTGAAAAACTGGGAGCTAGTGCAACTCCCAGTCGTCAGCAGCGCAGAGATATAAAAGTGTCTAGAAGTCAAACTTTTATTGCCCAGTTTTTCACAGAAGAATGAAGAACTCCGTGCACAGCTAGTTTGAAGTGTGGTGACACGTGTACAACCAAAATCTGAACAAACGAACGTACCACTGTTTAAAAATCATCTTCCCGCTTTATCTTGCGTTTCAGGACAAGTACGTTCTCATGTCTCTTGCAATCCTGTGCGTGGTGAGCATTTGGCATGCCGTGGTCACACTTATTCCAACGGACGAATGGAAGCCGGTCAGTGTGAGGTCGGAAACGACTACCGCGTTTGGCGAACAAAATCCAAGCAACACAACTACAGGACTTGCCAATCCACTGACTTTCACCCCCCTGCTTTTGTTTCGGCAGTCAGTGAATATGAGTGATAAGCCGATGGAAGGAATAAAGGTATGGGATCCGGTAAGAATGCTGGAAAATCGATTTCGTCAAATAGATATCATCTTCAGATTCATCCGTATAGAGCTCGTTAACGTTTAGAAGGTTCAAAATGGTTACTGGTGGACGTAGGCCATTGTTTTACTTACAAGTAATTTCAAAGAAACCCCTCTAAGTAATTCTCCCTTTTTTCTTTTTATAGCGCCCTAGGTTCGTTGTGATTGTTTTATTAATGATCCAGGAGAATCTGGCGCTCGTTCAGCTTCACGTTTTTACTCCTAATATTAGAGAACGGACGCAAATCGTGTCTTCATCTATAGCATGATTGGCATAAAAACGAAGGATGATGAAGCTCTCTCTCGTTATTCACCATCCTTTTGTGCGACGTCTATTTATAACAGTGATTTTTTTACTTCAGCTTAGGAGATCACGAAATTTAAAAGTCACTAGTTTTCAAAATTACGATCAGCCTAAGAAGCTCTCCTCACCTCTAACTTTCAGCGTCTCATTTCCTTTTATTCAGCTTTTATTACACAAGTTTCCGTGAGATCTCGTTTTATTCCACTCAGTCAATACATTTAAACCACCGTCGGTGATGTAATGGGATGCGTTATCTACTCTGCCACTGCGTACATGGCAACAATTCTGTGTTAGATATACCTTCATCTTTGCTGACGGTTAGTATTCACTGGTAACACTGCATATGAATTCCGTCCAGATATCACAGTCCGCCATTCTTAAACAGAGACTTGACTGGTGTCTTGCAGAAACGTATTTCGGTCTCCATTCCCGTGCTTGCCGAAAAACAATCTAGCCAAAATTAGCATTACACCCAAGGTTCATTAGCACCCTTCTCGAACGGAATGACGGGTCCACACACCTGAAATAACGGTTTTAACCGTAGACCCCGCTTACTCTGAGGTGGGCCCCGACAGATATATTAATATCGCGGTATTCACCTGAACAACGCACCATGATAGTCTGAGTTAAATTATGGCAGAAAGTTTTTCAAAATAACAACTTAGAGACAGAAAAGAATGGCATTCAAATGATTTATGTCATCGGCCTTGTGATGAAGTGGAAGGTATATCTACACCTGAACCTGTCCTACTCCCAAAAAAGCATTATGGACACGCCAGTGGTGCGTAAGGCAAATGTTCAGACTTGAAAGTCATGATCAACGAATGGTCATTATACGCATATTAACATCGTTCATTTGGGTTGTTCCCATATCTGAATGGCTTGAGCTCGTCTCATAAGTGATATCCTAGAAACGGACCCTTTACATGGTGGGCTGCGAACTAGTTCATTCATAACAAACTGGAATAGCCTGACCTAAATTAGATAAAGAAAACGAACCGGATTAGAAGTCACGAATGGTACAAGTTTTTCCTGTAGATATGGATTATGAGTGCACCAACTCAAATACACCTGTCAGAAGACACCGGTCATGTTTACCAGAGCGTCGGACAAATTACACTGATTAGGGATAGCCTACAACTTGGATGTTTCAAATTCTACTCAGCTCAACCAAGAGAAGGGTGGTATGGTGTCCACAAAACAAAAGCTGGAAGACATTTGATTATGGGTCAATGTTAAGCGTGTTTAGCTTCGACTCCAAATGCCCAACTTCATACTAGCATCTCCTCAATGTTCGTTACTTCGGGGTATTCTACATCTTATCCAAATGTTATTTGGACTCCGTGAGACAAGACAGTTCCTATAGAACTGATGATTCAGGGTTTTGTTATCACGTTTTTTTCACAAGCTTTCAGCGCTATGAAGGCGAGGAGATGGTCGCTCATCGACATCAACCAACTTTTGATAGACGACAAGAGTTTGCCCTTGGCCTCTCACCTTTCCAAGCTCTCGTGAACTGACTAAATGCTATTCATGAACGTGAATTTCCGTTACCTGACAAACGGATTTTTTTATTATCGTTTCATGGTCATTTCATGGTTTCTAGTCGCAATCTCATCAAGAAACATGTATGAAAGCTTCATTGAATTCAAGCAAATCTAGCAAAGTGCTATCACTGCTTATACGAAGAGAATACCAACTCGACTTATTTGGACAGTTAAGCCTCACGCACAATCATTCAGAAACAAACTCACCTTTACTGTTTCGTCCTACGACTAGAATTCCCACCACATCCTCGATCCATCGTGTTACAAAACGCTGTTCTCTCTGGATTTTGATTTATGTACCGATGCATGTTTTTTCGGTCAGCCAAAATGGAACATGGGATAGTCATGGCTTTAAATAGCCCAATTGTTCCACAAAACGATGTGGATGGACAGTGATAACCATATGGTGCTTCAAATTTGCGCCTAAGAAGATGACTAAGAACATGAATCCGATTTTAAAAACCCCTCGATTACCGTGTTGTTGTTATCGCCTTTCGTAAAAAGATGCCGACGTTGTTGACCTGTGCACACGCTGTCCCAGCAGCACACATTTAAACATACTTTTCCATTCACCATGCTGAAAAGACACTTGTTACAATTCTAGCCTGACGTAGCTGGGTCCAGATCGAATGCGGAGAAAATCACAGCAGCTTTGTTTACCATTCTACCGGTGAAAAGAAGAAGGTCTTCGCTGCGGAGTTATTTATTGGAAAATGCCAACTGACCAGTTACAGACTATTGGACAGGGAAGCAAATCCCTCAGTGACATTATATTAAAAAAACTGGATATCCATCTTCTCCCGAACGCGTCTCTTTGAAATTTCCTGGATATTCATTGACTCCAATCATTTCTCGGTCAGATCGATGCAATTGTTACAAAGCGACTCCACAAATTCTGCAACAGATCTCCCCTTTCAAGAGACGCAGAACGAATTTACAAGAACAAATCATACTACTCGCATGCCTCCCCATCAGTTGTATCACCGTTACACCGGTATAGTCCAAGCCATCTCGCAAGACTAGTCAGTGTGTCGCAAACAGAAAAACCGAAAACCGAATCCACTTGGGAAACCATTCACCGCACTCACAGCCGGACAAGAGTTGACGGCCCCATGCCAGACCACTTATGAAAACATACTGTACACGGTTCCCTATTGCTCCTTGTAACCAATGGGGAGAAATATATATCATTCGATTAGTAATCAATACCATCGTCACTGACAACAAACTCAAATGAGAACACGGGTGCCTTGCTGAAAAAACCTTTTAATGAAAAGAAAAAAGGAAATGAAACAGGATGTAGGCGTGCCAGTTTTTGGAGGTATCCAACACCCATTAGTTTGTTCAGCTACCTCTTCATTATACATAAACAAAGGGGAAGCTGTGGAATTTTTGGAAAATTTATTTAGTTGTAAACACTGCTGCCAGACACTAGCTCATCTATGTGATGGGGGGATTAGTATTCCAAAAGGTTTTCTGGCAAAAAATCTAGCGTGAACCAGTACGTAAATCGGACACCAAAGTGCACAAAGTGTTCCGTAAACAGACAGGTTCACACTAAGCTACATTGGACAATCCACTTAGGATCATTAGAAAAAAACCGGGGTGGGGGGTGGAAACCCCAATCGAGCAAAGGTCACAGCATCCCTCCTACACAACTATCTTAGCGCTAGCTCACCCACACAGACTGACGGGAGGTCCAAACGAAGTTCAAGGGGAACCATCAAATGAACCAGAAGAACTAGACTCTAAGCTGGACCCAAACACATGTAGGTTTCCCCACCGACCCAACGCTTGTTCAACCACTCTAACACACTAAAGTCCCTCGGCCGACACCCAACAGAGATTTAACTTGACTTAGCTGATTGGTTCTCCTTCCGCCTTAAATCTCGATCAACCTCGGAACCTAGTCACTTGGCCTGACGAAGCTTTTGTGTCAAAAGCAAAACGTTGCCCAGCAANATATAGTTTTTTTCATTTGAAGCGATCAAAACTTATCTGCTTATTTAATTGTCCGAAAACGGTGTTTCCCTTGAGGCTTAGAAAATAGATGCGACCATCATCCTAAAATTTGAGGAAACCCTTTTCCTTATTTTGTCTTGCCATGTCATCGTTCAGGTTGGGGACAAAGTGAGTCACATTTCATTATGTTGTATCTATGCTATGGATAACCGCGACGTGCGCAGTGAGATACACAATGAAACTCACCGTCAGGTAAGACACCATTTGAAATTGGGCACCAGCCAACTAGCTGATATGATGACTGCCTGACACAGACTACTTGCAGTTGATTATTTATAGAAGTGGCTCATAAGAGACACACAAGATAAGTCTCAGTGTCTTCCTGAGGACCTGAGATACTTAAGCTCTCACTTCAACGTCAGTTCTGAAGTCCCGCGCTAGAAATGAAGCTTGCAGGTAAAACACCCAGTGCTCTCCTGATAGCAGCGAATTTCCTGCAGAACGGCTGTACTTGACCTGTGGCGATGGATATTTCTGCACATCAGTGTTTTACGGCGAGGACCCTCAGGTGAGCTTTTTGGCAAGCTGCTCCCTTGGAGCCTTGCCCGTGGTTGACTTGCGGGCGATCTGCTTAATCAAATACTCTGGGCAATTTCAGACCAAGAATAAATTCCATTTGAGAGAAGAAAAACCCGATGGGCATAGTCTGAGGATAGCCATGAGGATAAGCTTGGGGACCAAAGTGTAACTGTCAGTTGAATTTTCAGGCGAACGGAGTGTAATACAACCACAGGTAACAGATATTCTGGAGCATTTATTCGACTGAGAATCAGCAATCATGAATTAAGAAACATTTTGGACGTGTTCCTTTATTACCTTCATATTACTCTCGTTCACATCAACTGCACATTTGTCGTCGTAAAAACATGAGTTACTTTACAGTGACATTAAATTGTCGCAGCAATAATAGCAACTGCACTATCAATGTAATTGCCCTCAGTATCTATGTTCTACGACCCATCCGAAAAAAAGATATCCACCAATATCAAGCCGAACAAACAGATCTTGCCATTTTACACGGTGCAGCTGGTTTCAGTAAAATGCTCAACTTTGATTGACTGCATCAAAATCATCAGTCGATCAAAAATTGATCGGAACATCTTTCATTTCGTCAAGTAAATCATCACCACCAGTACTCTTTCGGCCCAGGCACTTCAGTCTACTGGTACGGAGGTATAATGTCTATCTTAGCGTAGCTCATAGGTACCTGCTGGGATGTGTTCGCTATTTTATTGCGATACTTGCACAGCCATACGTATCATACTTGCCACTGTGCAAATGTCACAATGAAGCAAACTCCTGATCGTTGGAGGATTTATGCCTATCTGGTGGGGAGAACTGTTCATTCGTAGCCAGACTAATCCTACAATATCGGGCCTATAGGATCCGCTATGCAATGAAGCAATCGAAGAGAGTATTTGGAATATGGGCTCTCAGCAGCTTCCGGACAGTGACAGCAACGTTTCGCTTTTGACACAAAAGCTTCGTCAGGCCAAGTGACTAGGTTCCGAGGTTGATCGAGATTTAAGGCGGAAGGAGAACCAATCAGCTAAGTCAAGTTAAATCTCTGTTGGGTGTCGGCCGAGGGACTTTAGTGTGTTAGAGTGGTTGAACAAGCGTTGGGTCGGTGGGGAAACCTACGTGTGTTTGGGTCCAGCCTAGGGTCTGTGACTCTCAGCATTTTCCACCGCCTCGGCTATCAGCCGCTGTGGTGTGAATCGCAGTCCCCGTCTAATACCCACATTCTCAAGATTTATTCTATGTCCCGTGTCTAAGGCGTGTACCGCCATCGCTGAGTCTTTGACCAGCGTTTGGTATTCTTCTGCATTCCTTAATGGCTTGTTAATCCTTCTTTCATGCTCACCAATTCTGGTGTGCAATTCCCTGGCAGTTTGTCCTATATAAACCTTAGCGCAATCGGTGCAGTTAATTTTATATACACAGTCCCTCTCAACCGGCAAAGGATCTTTCAGTTGCACCAAAACTGACCGTAGCGTCTTACCCTTTTGAAAAGCTACTCGAATGTTGGATAAGTTCAGCAATCTTCGGATAAACTCCGATGTTCCTGCTTTATATGGAATGACTGCTGTGCCAATCCATTCCTTACTGGGTCTAGATACTGGAGCCAATAGCTTTCTTATTTAACGCCTAATCAAACTCACTGGGTATCCTATTTCTTGACGTTTGTTGGCAATCTCGATATGAGCTGCCGTTCGGTCGATCTCTTCTGTGCACAGCGCTCTAACTCGACGAAACATCAATGAGACAATACTGGCGTACACGGACTTTTTAATTCGTTTTGTTTAACACCACACTTCAGATAAACGTCACTCGCTTGAACAGAACCCAGATTACCGAGGAATTCGGCAACATCAATTCAACTATTTCGAAATTCAAATTAGGCCCGATTGACTGGCAAGCGCTTGCCAAACAAACAACCCAAGACGCAAAGACCCAACGCCGATTAAAGCTCCGAATAGAACAAGAGGTGTTCGCTTCCTTCTGTGTTCTCTACATTCTGGCACATTTGACCTTCATATTCTGGCTTTATTTTGACGTAAGTCCTCCCTTTCAAGAATACCACTTGTGTTTTTAATTACATCAGTAACAAGAAGAAGGTCAGTAACTCTGTTTTGTACCCAATGACCTAAGAATATGATACATAGACTTTGTGTTCGACAGCAAGTGAATTTTCGTCTGCACCTCCATCTAGGCACCATATACTACAAGTCGTCTGTTAACCTTTCAGAGGTTTCGTGCTTTACGAAAAAAGCAGAAGTTGATGTATAGACAGATGGAGGCCATCACCAATCTTTAGGTAATCTCCTCAGAAAGGGAAAATTCCCACGGGTTGTTACAACTTGCCATTTGAGAAGCTATCAGTGGTGAAACGAGTCAGCATGGTGTGAACCACGTTACTGCGGAATGTGACCAATTCAACGCTGGTAGTTGAACGATCTTCAGATGCTAACCGGAAGTCTGGTGGTTCGAATTCTTTTACTGGTTCATCGGGTACGCAGTGTTATTCGCTCTAAACACGGACGAAAGAGCCGTACAGTGGTTCTTGGCTTTTCTGTATATCTTGTCCTTATTTTCAGAATGAAATCTATATTGAGGTTCCAAAAATTTACAATACCACCAAGATATGTTATTCCCCGAACATGTTTCGTTGTTTTACTTAAGTTAAATTCCACTATATGCACAAAGCTATTGACACTGCCTAAACAACTCACACCCTTGGCAAATAATATGATTTCCGCCGTGAAAAACAACATGCCAAGTCCATACATGGAACCAGCTATCTGGTGTAAGTAACCTCTGTTTTTCTAAAGACGCTATATTATTCGGGTGAAGAGAGCTTCCCTTAGCCAATGTGCGGGAACGTGGTCGTACTTAGCTCACCTTTCAGCAAGCCGGTGTTTTGCGTACCAAGCACTTTTGGGAAGCAAGCATTGCAACCCCGAATGGTTGGTGCGCTTTCCACCAAGACCCGACTCACGGACAAATTCAGGTTGCGTCTAGACTAATGACTGCTTTGGGGTAGTCAAGTCACATAGATATCTCCCACTGCTTATGTGAAAAGTTACTGTCTTCATCAAACCACACAGTCAGTCAATCAACAATTTGCACTTTTTACCTATCGCTCTCGCACTCGCAGGCTCTTTCTCAGTGCGTTATTGACAGTACCCTATCTACTGAATCCCACTTCACTTTGTTCGTTTGAAGAATTTTAAACTAGGTGTGTTAGCCTTCCACTTAATCAAATTCAAACTGTCCTTCACGAATATGGTATATTTTAAATTGGCGAAGGTGGCAGTCGCCCGCCGTAAGAGAGCTGTCGCTGCGTTCCGAAAGTTTCTACTTGTTGAATGGCGTCAACCGGTGGAAAATTTATTCGTCGAAGCCTTACCAAACATAGCTCATCTGGAAACGGACTATGGTTATTAGTCACAAAGTGCTATCCGTGGTCTGTTTTCTGAATGTCTAATGTGTCCCATAGTGGAAGTGCGGAAAAACATACCAGATCAGTTAAAAAGCTGCGTGCCCGATATAGGAATCTAGTGTAAATGGTGAAACATTCTCACTGAGAGCGGATTTGATCAATTCTCAAGAGCGTACCGTTACTATCTTGGCTTATTGGAAGCAAAGTCAGCTCCTTGCGCTTGCGGATAGAAACACTTTTACTAACGTGAACAGTTTCGTTTGAGAATATGATGAGATTAATGGACATTAGGCTAGTAAATCACTTACAGGTAGATGGATCTGTTTAAAACAGTTGAACTTCGCCCCCTAAGATCCGAAGTTTCGACAGTATTGTTCGAGCAAACTATCTATGTGAGTTATGAAAAAATACTGGAAGAAAAGTTCTATGGTTTTCAACAATATGAAGTTCAAAACAATAACTTTTCCAGGAATATTATGTGAAGGCTTTGGTCTTTTGAGTTTGTTCTCTGTTTGATGTTCAGAATAAAACAAGACAGGAGACTCGTGCATAATGCGGTAATGGCTGTCCTTGGGTGTACTCGTACAGAAGTGCATATATCAGTGTTCACCATTTAGGGAATTCGAACCTTAGTTGCGTTCAGCTTTGTAAGTGGCCGGTAAATCGTTCGATTCGCTCGCCAACCTGATTGCTCTCTGAATTCTTCCGAACGGTACGTCCCACCACATGTGATGCTTTTTGCATCCTGTTGTCAGCTGTTCCCCGATATATACAGGAAAACAAATGGGCGCACAACTTCAAACATCGAGGCGAACGGAACCCCTCTTAGTGCGATTGTGTGTGCATGGCTAAAAATAGCTCGGTTGCAGGAAAGTACCCGTGGATCTTGTCAAAAATGCCCACAATCGTTTCGCAACTTGTGAGAGAAGTTGTGATGTCAATGATGACAGTGAGATGACTGGCACTGTTTTTGGAAATACTGGCCCACAGAGTGTAGAAATGTCAAGAAAAAAATTCGGCAACAATTCGTTTTCGGATGTAAATCATTCGAATACGCTGTGGGTGTACAGTAGGATTTTTCCTAGTAATGAGGTCAACAGACTGCCTACAAAGCTACCTAAATATGAAAACTGTTTCTTACTCAGGGGTTACTCAGGGGCTGGTAGCCGACACAATACGCAATAGTATGGTGGACTCAATTGCTATTGCCTAGTGCAGGTTGTACGATTGAAATTGATGAGCCCAAAGACATCCATCTCTAACGAGTGGTTTCACCTTGAGATTGATCATTCGGCGTGCTCCCTATCCGAAATTTCAAGAAGAATTGCATCTTTTAAGTGAGACATGGTAATTCTGGACTGCTTTTTTCAAATGCTGACAGACTCATCAGTAACGTTTGATGTGCCGGAATCCCATCACTTTCATGGATTTTGAGATAATCTTCACAGCATCAAGCAGTTCGCTCATTCACATTGCTGGTTCCTGTTCCCCTCAGTTGAGGCATCGCGAAACTTTTAATGGTTATTCACTAGGATAGATCCATGCATCCCTTGTTGCGTTCTTCTGGATTGATGAGATTTTGGGTCTTAGTTGACTTGAGATACATCTTTTCTCCGTCATCGTTCAGCCAGGTTCTACTAAGGACGAGTGAGCTGTAAAATGCGGTCGTCGGGAACTTTCCAATGAATGACGGATAGTAATGACCCTAGATTATCCAACTTATCTGTATTTGACTTCGATCAGATCGCTGATGGTACGAAGATAGACACCAGGCAGGGGAGATGGTGGTGCTTTCAGAAAAAAGCAGCAAGCAATCTCCGATATAAACAAAGTCAAACTCAACAATGGGCTCAAAAATTTCTTTAAAATTACAATCAAAGTCTTTGATGCAGGCTTAAGAAATTCTGCGTTTATCAAACTATCCATATTTTTGCAGACAGACATTCGAAAATTAGCCTGTAGAAAATGTTTTTCAAACACTCAAAGCATTTTTTCCTTACGCGACTTGTTATAATGATGCTGGACGCATAAACCGCCCAAACGAAATGTTAATTTGCAGAATACTTTCGATGTGTGCCAGTTCTGAGCAAATCGTGACAATAAATAAAGGATATAACCAGCGCTGTTGACACTTTGATGGTATTCCCGCCTTAGTGATATGATCTGTATACTCGAACCCTCGAACGACTACCCAGTTCACGATTTTTGGGTGGAATGAACCACCTTTCAAAACTCCCCAGTTAGGTAGGGCCACATATTCTTGAAATCAGTAGATCAAAACTTCGATCAGTTGTATGTGGTTGCAGTGTCTGTAGAAGTTGCACCCAAGTCATTCTGGTTTGAACAGTTCTCCTGCTGTCCTGGGACAACTATTCTGATCAGTCAGTCGATAGAACCAGGACAGTTCTTGGGTCGTCTTTCGAGTTGTCGGGTAGACCAATCACCACCCATTTCTGATCTGATAATTCAGGTACGTCTAGCGTGCGCTGGTGGAGAACTGATAACGCGATCGTGTGTCAGACGTCAGGAGTTCAAACCCCGATTGAGCTAATCAGTTCTAACGAGAGCGTAACTGGATTCAAGTGCATCTCTCTTTGATGTGGACTCAGCAGAATAACTCCACCAGGATATGAAGGGAATCGTTTAAACAGGAGCGATGTTAGAGTCACTTTAATGGCGAGTAATGATAGTTCACGTTCACTAGTTATGATAGTATTGGTTACTTGAAAATCTGGTTCGTACGAAAGACCATGTTATCAAATCGGGGTTTATTACAAACATTTCTTAGTTAAATGACCGAGCAGAAGGCGATTTTCCTTAAAATGAACACGAAAATTGATTGGTTAGCAACTGGGCAAAAAAGGGCACTAATACAACAGGTTTAACTGACATTCTGGTGCACGCGTGCGTGGCGCATTTATTCCAGAGTGAATAAGTGCCCCAAAATCCACTCACTGTGAACAGAAAGAAGGTAAAGGAAGAAATAAGCCAAGATTAGAAGGGAAGAAAGGATTCAACCTCAAAGAAAAGTCTAAACGTGCCGCTTCTTCCTGACAGGATCCCCTTGCATAACATTATCTCTAAGTATTTTGAAATTTGGGCGGACCGACTGTGTAAGTCTGCAACACAGGAAAACGTGACTGGATATTAATGCTTATTTTTTATTTTTGAAGGAGTGCCAACAAAAATGAACCGATCGCACTCGAAAACAAGGTTGGGTATGCGTTCCACATTCTGATATTCCGCCAATATATACTTCACTTCCTATTTCCAGCAAATAATAAAAAAAAATAAACATGACGGCAGGATTTACTGTCCTCGTCGGTATGCCACAAAACCGGCAGGACTAAGGTCGCTTTAAGTCGTCTAATCGTAACATGCTGAAAAGTCCTAGACGGTCCGCGAAAGATTTCTCCCTTCTTGTGGATCATCAGAAAGGCGCACTCCCGGAGTCTCTCTCAACTTCATGTTATGCTGAGGTTGTTCTTATTGAACCAGTATTGACCAATACTCTCAGTTGGACAGGAGAATCCACTTGATCCAGCTGAATTGTTCACCCCAACTGAACATGCATCACATGGTCTGGTGCCGACTAGTCCTCTAGATCTGAAAGACAGGAGGAGTTTCCGCCTCTGTAACGTGAAGAGAATGATAAAGTCTACTGCATAAACTCCAAATTCTACTGGCCGCTTCAAGATACAATCTACCGATCTCTATATATACAGGCTCTGAGAACTGAACAGCGGCATATTTACCGTGTACGCTGAACTCCCTCCTCTTTTGGCAGAACGTTTTAGAACCCAAAGAAACATGAACCAACCAGTTGTAATGCATTCACATTTACCAATAACGGAAACTGGGTGACAGCGCCTACCTGATAAACCCCAGAATAGCAAGACCGGTCATGGATTTTCCATGAGTCTTCAGTAACCTTGTGAGATAAGCGTTGATTATGACATAATCCAAATCCAAAATGGAAGCGCATTCCCCAGGATCCTGAACAATGCTTCTACCATAATCAGCTAGAAAAACTTGCTGCAGAGGGGTACTTTGGGGAGCTTTTATCACCACTCACTTCCTGTTAAACACAATGAGTTATTTGAACAGCTGTCCGCTATTTTCACTTCCAGGCCAGTGCGCGCCGTCGAGAAATGGTTGAACTGGACAGACAGTATAAGGTGAGCCATCCGTTCTTTTTGTTCAGATCGACTAGAACATCAAATTTGAGCTCCCACATTCTCTTGCGTGGTATCAGAAGGTGCTTGGAGCAAACACATAACCGTTTTCCGGAATAGACATCTGTGCCCATCAGCAACTGTTGACCCGGGATCTTTTTATGATGGCCATATGTTGGCTGGTATGACACGACCAACCGACATTAAGGAGACCGGTTGTCCAGAAGAGTGAAAAGTATCCAGCTGAATTTGGAGAATACTTTCAAAGTTCCATTTGGTGTATGGCATTGTACAGAGGAAACAGGGTTTCGGAAAATTCCCCAGAAGAATTGTGCACTGGGTTGTGTTACGTTTACGTCAAGAAAAAAACGTTCACTACTTACAACCTTGTCCATACTAATGCCTAGTAGCCTTTCCAAAGTAACTCACTCTTCAGAACAAGCGAGGTCGAACACTCGAGAAGGATCACTGAATCTCAGCGGCATTTACGTCAGTCGTCGGAAAAGATTAAAAGAATAGAAATTGATGAGAAAGAACAGAAAGCCGTTTCATTATCGGCTCTCTGGAAACATGCTATCTGTATTTTTTGCCTTTACTCCTTAGGTGAAGTGAAAAAGCTCGCGTTTGAACAACCGGAGAAAAACATTATGGGGAAAGAATAGCCACCTTATCAAAAACTAACTACGCACGGTGTCCTATTCATAATAACCTATTCGGTTGCTCACCAGAAGGGCTGGTTCTGGCCTAATAGGTTTAAAGGTTCAAGCTACTTTTCCACCGGGTAAACATCCAGATTTCACCGGCAGATCTACGCGATAGTAACTAGTTATCTTCTATGAAACAAGCCTCTCAAAAGAGTCCCACCGGGAGTTGGGTTCCAGGAGGCTCAGTTGCCTCAAACATCGATAAGCTAGCGAGTTAGACGGTGGCATTATGCTCTTACAAAGATATCAGTCGTTAGAACATCTTGTTGATCTGAACGTCCTCAACAAGTTAGTGAAGCAAGGGGTTTTTTAAATTATAGGTTGCTGCAATCCGAAGTTTCGATTGCTGTGGGTGACCTTTCACAAGGATTTCTACAATCAACTGAGTACGAGTCAAATGTAGCAACATTTGGGTCCTCTACCGTGTCTTATGATTGATGCATCCCTGTCATCAGCTGACATTCAGATTGGGTCAGCGTGCGTGAATGCGTGCAGGCATAGTAACCAGATGTCAGGCAAGGATCTCAAAATGACGCATCACAATCTGAATGACAAACGGAAGCATATCCTAATCAGAGTGCACAAAATCACATGCACACACTCACCCACGCACGCTGAGCCAATCTGAATGCCAGCTGATCACAGAATTCATCAATCATAAGACACGGCAGAGGACCCGTATTCTGTTGATTGTACAAATCCTTGAGAAAGGTCGCTCACGGCAACCGAAACGTCGGATTACGACAGCCTAGTCTGCTACGCTGTTTTGACTTTATTATTAAAAATACTGCATGTTAGACACCACATGGCACCCAATCATTTCAACACTCTTTGAGCTGATTTCGGGCCGGAACTCATAAAGTAAGTGAAGTTTTGTGAGGAGTGCAAGGCATTAGGACCGAACTCAATTCAATGAGCTGTTTTCAGTTTTCCGATTTGCCCATCATATCTCTCTATGCAGATAGTTACCTATGTGTCGTAGGTAATATCGTGTGCGGTTTACGCTGAGCTACGTGTTTACTAGATAAAGACCCTTTACCCCGTATCAAATTGAAGGAATAAGACGGAAGGTTTTGGTAGGATTTCTGTATGAGAGACTCGAAGAAGTGTGTTCCACTTCCGTCAAGTAGATAGTTCAAAAGCCTCTAAAATAAATCATCTATGTTGGTGCAGATGGTTTTTCCGAGATATTCAGGTTGCTAGACTACTTGCATGATAATTCAGTAGTATTTTCTGTTACACAAGTAGCTACTTCCAAGACAATATATAAAACAGTTATCTTCAAATTTGAATGTGAATGTCATTAAGAGGGATGTTAGACCAATAGGAGGAAAGAGCGACCGGATTTCTAAGACACTAACTGATGGATTGCCGAGTCTTGCATAATTCTGTCGATATTCAGACCCATCCTCAATCAGTCTCATTAATTTTTCCTGTTTTACACTTCGCTGTGATATGTGTGGGATCAAAACATCTGTTGGCATTAAAAGACGCACTTGAACCTGCCCGGATTTAATCACTGTGAAACGGTGACGGGTTGGGTGTTACAACACGCCATGTTCTCGCCTCACTAAAGAAAGGTGGATCCTGGGTCAAGCTGCCAACGTCTGTCTACGATAGGTGCGATCAACAACAATCGCTCATTTGTCTGGGCCGAAACGGTATAATTCCAGTGTAAGTTGGGTAATTTCATTTGCAGACAGCAGCAAGTAATGTATTGTGTCGGATTGGTAGACTGTGGGATAACCTTGACAATATGACGTCAGTTTGGGGTCACGCCTTCCCCAATCCGAAACGTGATCTGATGGTAGCTCACCAAGCGACCTCCAAAGTGAGTAGAGTTCTGTATTTTGCTTTGTGCTGAATACAGTGATCTTTAAGAGTGAGTGGTCAGTACTTGGGAGGGATCCGGAATTTCTTCAGTGAACATATGCAAAGAATTTCGATTTGTCCACTACTGATAGATTAGGCGATCGTTTTTATGCAGTAAAGAAGTACTATCTATGTTTAGTGTAAACCCTAGTGGATCAGCCCCGTTATTTGTTTAGTGAAACAGATGAATAATTAAATTAAATTGTAACTCCGGCAGACGATATCCACGTATTTGAATATTCATTTCCAAGGTGAATCAATTTTGCTCGCTCCGGCAATGTCTTTCTTTGCCTCAGGAACTTTGAGCTGGATTTTTAAGGGAAATATAGAGCTACTGTGGTTTAGAGTCCAATGTTTTCATATTGGCATGTCCATGCTATGTAAAGGAGGTAACATGTTCCAGAATCTGCCAATTTCTTGTCACACCAAAGAACTAACAATGTTGTCCGTCTTTTCACACCGCAGCGTTGGTTGCACGCAAACAAGGAAGCTCAAGCTCAGGCTCAACAGAACTGTTAGAGTTCCATGGGTGAGTGAGAAAACGCGCAATTCATATACACTGGTGCAAACGAACCCTTTACCCGAACGAATTTTATTTGAATAGTCCTCAGGCCAGTCCTCTACATTCCCCTCAGATTTCCACATCTCCCAGGTAAACCAAGGTACGGCCACTTAAGAGGGCCAGTCATACGAGGAGCTTTTGGCTCACTTGGCTTACAGATCGAACAGTAAATTAAACTTTACTGCTGGCATTTGGTTGAGGATCAAGTGCGCGCTCATATCGATTTAGGACAACTTGATCAACCGGGACCTGCGTGCACGTGGGATGAAACGGACTTATTAAAACTAATACAGTATGTTACTGTTAGATCATTCTGATTATCAAACTCTGTTTTTGTACAAAATTCTTGCTTCTACCAGGTGCAGCAGCCTCGAATTCAGGTGGACGCGACAGTTTATTCTACAATATACACTCCCCGGATATTTGTTGTTTAAATTTCTTTTTGTCACCAGCAAATCAGACAGATAAACGGAAACCCAAGATGATCCTTAACACTCAAATTCACCTGGATTGTCCATATACTGGGCAATGGAGAGATGAACACGAGGTATGCTGAGCACAGAACGGATACATTGGTGCGCTCATTCCTACGTAGTACCTGTGAAACCTGGTCGTAATGGGCCCCTAGGTGATTAGACCGAACCCACAGTTTGTGTGACAGTCAAATGAATTTTAAATCAAATATTTAGCCTCCTTAGAACCCGGTGGTTTGCTTGCATTTCTTATTTTATCCCCTCCAGTTGATTTTTTCTGCGATATAATTCTCTTACAAAGGTCAGAGGCATTTATTATCCATAGGGCTCTATGTGCTCAATTTTTTCCTGATATCATGCTAATTGGACAAAGTACCTCGCAAATTTACCGAAAGCTTTAATTTCAATCTACCATTACTCCTCATTCACAGTTTCATTTCGTGTTGAGCTGGCCGATTGGCTCTTCTCACATATACCACCGCCTGATGATCGTCGAAAAATATAAATTTCATGGCAAACGGATATCCGTATATCGGTCAATCTCCGTATTCTTAAATTCAAGCGGAAGCCAAAGAGAAAAGAACTGGCATTCATCTCATATTGACATCTGCTGATGAAACGCATAAACGTTCTTCAAAACTGGGTGAAAGATTTCTACTCTTCTACGCCTGGAATATTGGATTGATCCATTTATGCTTACGTTAGGGATAAAGCCTATCTGTTGTCTGGCTTGAAAGGGAAGTTAGTCGTTCCTGTCGCAAGCGGTTGGGCGGGACGTTTTCGAACAGATTAGGGTTACATGTTACCGTGAGATTTTAGGTTGTACTCGGGGAGAGCATCATGCGCTCTGCGTTTAATATTGTTCGTCAAAGGTGCGTGATCTGAGGATGGTTTTGCCTTACCTTAGGAGTTTTCTAATACACCCTATCGACTGATGCTAGTGACCGTCCTCGCCTTCGATGGATGGTGAATATTGTATCCTACGAGAGTTCAAGGCCTTAACTCAGTTGAAGTGCCGTCACACAACTGAGACTTCATGGAATGATTGGGTTCACAATAATTTTAGGAGCTTGCAAAGTTAGATGTGATACTTCTTAAGAACTGCGATGCGTAGTCGTGCCTTGCACATCAAAGGGAGGTGGTAGTATTAAAGTATCGACTCAATATCCGTAAAGCGAGAACTACGACAAGACAGGCGTAGGTCAAACTAGATAGCATAGTCCAAGAGAACCACAGGGCTTGCAGTAGTAAGAAGAATACGGGTAGCGTGTTTTAACGCGGAAAGTGTGACTGCTTTAGTTCTTTCTGACCGCCATAAACTGGTCCGTTGTGTAACCTGGAATATGGTCTCTTCAGAGTATTCACGTGTGGCACAGGTTGCATGAAATTTCCTCGATGTGGTTTATCCTGTGAGCTGATGTCTGCTAAGAATGGTCTATCCAATATGCCAACCACAGTAGTGTGACAGTTTTTTTTAAAAAACTGCCCTCGTTCTGCCGTTAGTTTCCCAACATAGGGGACCACTACCTAATAAAGGTTGATTTTTGTCGTTTATTTGTGGTGGCCTGTCAATAAGCATGAGATTACAATCGCCTTCATCATCCTTTGTTCCCATCTACAAATTGGAACATCGATCTGCATATCGTTCTTGAGACTAAAACAGAACAATAGCAAAAGTACTTTTGGTTGCTTCTGAATCTATGCTCCTACGGTCCACTTGAACAGATTTATATTGCCATGTTGTTTTACCATTGGCAGTTTTTCATAAACTACTGAAAGTGACTGAGTAGTCTCCCGTTGTTTCCTCTTGTTATTTCAGATAATCCGCCTTCGGGCACACCGTCTATTATCAACCTCCTAAAATATATTGATACACTTTCCAGCAGAAGGATTAGATATGCGCTCATTTGAAGTGTCAACCTACTCCACCTCAGAGACGGCAATTTCTGCCTCTCCTTGATCCGTCGTTATACGTGTACAAAACACACCGACAATGATATCGATCAAACCAACTATTCCCCATGGCGTCATTGGGGGAACCCCCTATTTATTTTGAGATTTTGCTTGGCTCATGGAAATCTTCTAGATTACAGTTTTCGTTTTGTCGCATCGGAGGTTCTTTACCTACCGTAAAGGGACAGGTAGATGGGAAGAGATTTGCAGCTTGCGTGAATTTTAAAAGGCTTTCATGGAATACTCACGAACGGAATGTCACAAAACTTACTCTGCCCACATTTGGGTTTAGTTGAGTTTTATTTATGCAGAAATCTTTTGAGGAACCTTGGACTAACATTTTTCTTCAGAAGAGTGGCAGTCAGAGGATTATTCAACGCTCTGTCTACGTACCAACGAATCCAGAGAACAATGAGTACCCTTGAGTTTCACCAGTGGGTTCTTTCAGGCTGAGGTGGATCACCGAATCTTGTGGCACGTTATGTCAGTGCAGAGATATCCGGGCAACATTCAACTTATCCTACTTACCATATAAAGTGTGTAAACTACACATTATGCATATCGCTGTCTGAAGTAGAAGAGTCTGCGAAACACTTTCTACCCTGAATACTGATTTCTGGTCTAGTTATGAACAGCCCAAGAACGGTCTGGGAAGTTGTAAACAGAGATCCGTTTTGAGGGGAAAAAAGAATATTTACCCCGATGGATTCTAGAAAGATTAAGCATTTCTCCAAAAAATTCGATAAATCCGAATTACAAAGTTTATCCCTCCCAGAATCAGCCCTTGGATGTACAATAAGGGAATAGTCTTGAAACATTTTGGCACTTGAACCTAACCTGAAAATTTGGGTTCATTACTCTGTTGGGAGATATTTACTGTTTCCGGAGGTTTTTGGTTGAATATGGTAACAATACTACCCCAATAAAAAGCCCGTATTTTTAAAAATTATCAAAGTCAAATGATGCATCAAATGCGTAGGACGCTCAAAACATTTTGCATTTTTTTAGGCACATCAACGTGTCACTAAATCGATAATGCTGAAATCAATACAGAATGATGTCATACAAAATTTTCGTCGACGAACCGGGCAAAAAGGTTATATAAACGGAAACTAACAAACTAAAGAAAAAATATACTACAATCACCTTGGAATATTGTTTTGATTCCATCTAGTAGCAACACGTGATCTTCAAGGAGCATCCTTTCACAAAGACGTGCGTTGGTGGAGTGCGCAAAAACGCTCAGGTAGAAAGAGACGTTCCGTCATCCATTAGAAGGCTTATTAAAAGGCAGGAAGTTGTCCGAACTCCGGAAAATATGAATGCACATTTGAAGATCCCGTGAAATTTCATACTAGTCTGAGATCTACTGGCCAGACCTGATCCAAATAGATACTTCCGTCATTCAAAAAGTTGGTAAAGGGAAAACTGATCGGTAGGTTAATGAAATTTATAAAAGGTATCTGGGCTATTATCGAGACAGTCAAGGGAATTTCGTCAGAGTCTGGCCGAAGATACATTTTTCCACACTATATAAAGCTTAATAATAGGAGTGAACGAAAAATGATTTTTCCAAAATTGTGGTACATTCAACCTCATGACGTTCCAAAGCGTTGCGTATTTTTCGAATGAGTATGGTGCTAATTACTTCTTGACAGCAAGAGGAGTGCTTGAGCATTGATGACAGTGTATTTATCCTCGTAAGCTTAAAGACGATAAACCGTCGGTGGCTTATGTCAAATAGAATTTTTTCGTTGCAGCAGACGTCCCGTTGCAGCTAGTAAGTTTGATGGACTTTAAGTGACAGACTGCACACATTCTACTAGGTCTTTAGCGAGGCTTTAACTTTCATGTCTAGTGACTCCTTGATGGTGACATCTTTCTACCCAATCAGCAAGTTATTTCTTGAGAGGATCCCGGTCAACCGACGCCTAGCTTGGGTCTAGTTGAAAGAGTGCAGGATTCTCGTAAAAAGGGACTTGGTCATAGCAGGCATTGCAGCATGTTGCAGAGAAAATTGGAAAGGTGGTGACCACACAACTGACCTTTAAAAATGGCATCAAGTGCCGGCTCTTCTTAGAAACGAATTAGTGTATAGATATACAATCGATGAAATAATTGAATTGCGAAAACACACAGAACACATTGTTTTCATGAACTATTCGTCAGTAGCAAAGTACGCATGTGGGTGTGAACATACGCCGTTTTTACACTATTTATGAGTTACAAGACAACAGATGGCAAATACGGGCGGTAAGCATGTTTTCCCCGAAAATATCCCGAGTTCTTTATAATTCAAGCAATAGTAAATGTTATTTCGTATTGGTGGGGTGGAACAAGATAGACTCGGATTAGTTCACCGACAGCCTCACCACGATCAAAGTATTATCAAAACAGTGTGGTAGAACTGTTTCACGTGGGTTGTAGTCATGGAGCTCAGCGTCTCCCAAAAGTTATACATTTTATCACACGGTCGTCATTATTATCCACAAGTGCGTCAACAATCAAAAGTTGGAATTACATTCTTTTTTAGGCTGATGAATGATCAAGAAAGAATTTTGCGTTTTACAACTCAACAAACAGACCGAATGCAAATACAGGTGTCCAACGATTGAGGGTAGCTCATTTTCGCAGCTAAGCAATGCTGACAGAAGTTGTAGTCTTTGCTGAGTTCGATTTGACATAGCCTCACACTATCGTTACAATCATTTGCCTCTTTGCAAACAGGTTGTTTGGATGCGGAAAAAGGAAAAATATCACATGTGATGATAAATTTTCAAAATGATTCACGTGTTGTGCTACTGAAATAAAAAAGAGTAGTTTTTTAGTTAGTATCGCCGCTAGTTCAATAACGCTGTTGGTTTCTTCAAACTTGAGCCTCAAAATAGTGGACATTCTCATTTTTACGGCACTGTTAGGCATGATCCAGGGGCGTTCTATCACGTCAGTCGAGGAACAACCATTTTACTGGTGACTTCCGCAATGATTAGACTGTGGGACAAGATGATTTGCACTGTGTTGAGTAGAGGGTAAAGCAATACATATTTGATCCGTTTTTACAGGGAAAAATAGTCACAAGTTTGCTGGAAACCTTGTGAATGTGAAAATACGCTTTGATTTATGGGATATCGTATCAACCGAATCATTAGATTGCCCTTGCGTTACACAACCATTTGAGTGAGAACATCATAAATAAGACATTCAACTGAGTCTCCCGTGAAAACCAAACTGATATGCAGATGAGTGTAGTTGCCAAAAGTGATCTGCTTTTGCGCTAATGACTAACACACGAGTATAAAGCCTCGTTAGCCTCCTTGGTTTTGCATATATTTCCGTTAGCTTACAGTTTCAAAACATTGGCTTCCAACTCAAATTTGGCGTGTTTTAAATGTGGTTTTCATGAGCGCAAACTATGGGTGCCCATTATCCGCACAGTACTCTCAGCTGCAAAAGTAAATGCTTTCAGGCCAAAATGTTGCATTTTGTTGCGTATATGCTCAACATGAAAACCGTCCTAACCTACTTCCATATTTTTGCAGCCCATCAAATTTCACTGTTCACTGAAGCAACCATGCCTCTGGCTGAAATTTCTTGTGTGATAATTCCTCAGCATCGCTGAGACCCCGGGATGCCTACGTGGGGCTTAAAAGTTTGGACTAGTACTCTCAACTTAATTGCCCGATTGCTTTAGTCCATCAGGAACACATCATAACTTTCGAAAATTCAATTCTGTTGTGCGAATACTGAGCGCCCAACTAGGTACACATGTCGAAAACAGTTGGCTGAAATGCTCAAGATGATAAATGGCTAATTAAGATACACATATGTGATTGTGAAAACATTCGGATCCAGGCTTATCTGAAATCTCTTCACAGCATGCTGACGTAGAGATAAAACGAAAGGATGCCTACGACGAAGCCCAAACTCCACCATTATTGGATGATTGTCTCTGCTCCCTCGATGAGTTCCAACACAGTTACATCGTAGCATTGTGCACTTCCCCTGAAATTTACTGTTCTCCATCCATAATGGAGTAAAGGTAGGACTGTAGGGAGGAAGCTTGAAATCGTCAAGGCTTATTCGTCATCCAATAAAACAGCCTTTTGGTCTTCATACAAGGACCGCTATACTGCCCACTGCATCGTTATATCTAAAAATTTCCCAAGCTTATTTCGCCCCTATTAGTAACCTCGCTCCAACTTTGTGTTTAGTGCATGCAAATGTTTCAGCCGTTTTACTCATTTGGCCATGGGTCTACCTAGCCATATTTTGGCCGACCTTATGCATGCGTATCTGTCCCACATATGGGCCTGTTTTGCTCACATGGTTTGTACTTTCATAGTTCATGTAGATCATTTTTGTGGACAAGTATCTACTGATAAAGTTTGTAGGTGTTGTATATTAAGAGTACCATAGTGAAACCCAGTCTTTGCCTTCTCGGAGGTTCCGGTACTACACTGTGACACTGTACGCAAAGTTCCGTCTTCACCAAACACCCCTCGCAATACGTTGTCACTGCTTCTTCCACAAACTCATATATCTTGTGATTCCACCCTTCCCCAATTATATTCTCCTGTGCCCTATAGTCTTCTTACTCAGTAGAACATCAGTAATAGAGCGCACTAGCCTTAGAAAAGCAAGTGATCGTTGCGTATGCGGCGCTCATTGAGCCTTCTGAGAATGACCATTCGTCTTGATATAACCTTGATCCATCCGGATATAACGGAACGTTACTTGTTGTCACCAGGCTGCACGACCATGGAAGATATTGTTGGTCGGTTTGGGTAATGTATGAGCCCATGCACCCATTTACCACCATTAGTTGCAGCAAGAGCCACCGTTCCTAACAGATTAAGGCTACGCCCTTCAAATTACTTGAATGTATCTTAATGTTAACCCTGCAGCACGGGTGGATTCCAAAGCACCCTCAGAAATTACGCCATTACCACTGATCAGTACCCCAACACGAGTTTTGTCGCCAAATCAATGAATTTGTCAATTCATTGTTTGTTGACAAACTGACACAAGAATACAGAGCGGGTGAGTGACCGCATCTGGTCTGCTTACTCTGACTTAACAAAGGTTAAGCAAAACATTGGGTCGCTGCGTTCAAAGCATCTGGCAGAGAAGAAACACTTGAAGTTTCCTCGATAAATGTACACGGAAATCGTCAGCAAAGTCCGAGGAATGTTGATTAATCGATTCAGGCGCGCAATGTGCGCTCAAAAAGACCTGAGTATCGCTCCTGAGCCACCAGTTAATTATGGAACTGTCACGTTACAGTTTAGTCTTTCACGGATCCACGGATTGCTACACAACCCCGAGGGTTGGTTCTTGTGTTTCAGCAGCCCTCGTTCACGCAAAATTCACAAGCGGAAAAAGGGTGTAGCAATGCTCTTTAAGTTCTCAACTAGGAGCAGTAGGCTTGCTAGCGCAAAGACTCATAAAAAGGAGTTTCTAAAAGCGCTTTGCTTTGGGTGCTAAAGGCAGCATGAACAGCCGTTGGATGAGTCTTATTCCACGCACCAAATATCCGAAATTGGAAATTGCCCAATAAAGGCATATCCCTGCCGTGTGTTTGTTGGGTTAACTATGAAAAACCTGTTGGCCAAAACTTGTTGAAACAGGGCACAAGTAAGTATTAAGTATCCTCGGATGCGAAGATACAACAGAGCAGAAGTCAAGCACCGAATGGAGCCTTCCACAATACATGGATCGAAGACCGGCAGCCCATTAGACACGCCCAACAAGGGTTACTCCCTTCTTGCGTATTGAGTATACAACTTGGTTGACATACTCAAGGACGACCTGACGTAGGGCCCATAGGGTATCCGAAATTCCGTGCAAGTATCACAGATATAGTGCACTGGAAAATCTGTAGAACAGCTTATGGTTTTTGAACACATATTTTGTGATGCGGTGAGATGAACATGTTTGAACAGATCCAGATGTCTATCCTTGTAACGTCTTCTGGTCCGTTCTCATCATTCACGAGAAAGGCGTTCGTCGAGTCTTCTCCGGATGACACATGGACACACTTTTCGTCATTCTGTGTAAAACGCCAGTCCAGCGATCACTCCTTTCCAGCTTCCACATACCATTTAGAGAGCACTGGCACTTGAACCCCATGCTTTTAAGTCGCCAGCAAAACGTGGACATGAACAATCATCTGTTAGGTCGTTGATGTAGATCAGAAACAGAATCGGTCCCAAAACAGAGCCTTGAGGAACGGTAATAGAAACCGATGCCGAAGAGGTGTAGATCAAGCCTAACTTCCTGCCGTGTGATCTCACTGATAGAACTGCTCAATCTCACGTATGATTCATACTCGTATTCTACAAGGCTTGTTCCTCTGGAGCTGTGTAACCTGCAGTTCTTGATCTGATGTTTTTGAAAAGTTGAAAAATATCGCATCCGATATGGGTCCATCTTGTATAGCGTGGTTTAATCTGTCTATAAATATTAGCGTTTTTTGTCACTGAAGAGCAGTTTGGGAGGAATACTTGTGCTTGTCATATCGATTTACTGATTCTGAGCTAATTTAAAATGGTCTGACTCGTGCTGCGTTCCATCGCCCTCCACGGAATGCTAGTGTTTGTAGTGGACCCGTTAGTGCCGGGCGATATATAGTCACGTGATTTGTGGTTTGGCATGATACTTCCTCCATTCTTGGCAGGGCGAAGGTTGCCTTCGTCGAGTAATTGACAAAGTACCAATCAGAAAAGCCTTTCCCGTGTGAGTTATTTGTGTTCAAGGATATTCAAAGTGCCTGCATGGACTTCGTCTGGCCCCGACGCGCTGAAAGTGTTTGTCTTTTGCAGGAGTCGCCAAGCGTCCACTCTAGTAAAGCATAAGTCGGTAAGAATATGTTTGCAGATACTTCTTGACAAGAGTGGATGTGGCAAGGTCTCTAATACAGAATACAACCCATCATACTGTTTAGTGTGGGCTTCAGATACCACTGTTGGGTCACTCGTGGGTTTCCCGTAGGGTCACATATAAGTGTAGCCCAACATAATCTGCCATCCCGTGCTTTGATGCAGCACCGAAAATGGAGTAGCCTCCAATAAGATCTCCGTGTCAGAGATGTCTGACTAAGCCAGGTTTCCATGAGTGCAATTATGGGTGGATGTTTGACGCAAACTGGCTGTTTAATGTCGTGAGGTTTGTAAAAAAAAGACTGAAGTGTTTTGTGGATCAGCACTTTAACACCACTGCAGTGTCCGGAGGTCGGGAGCCAAAATATGTGCTGACAGGGAGGTTAGTAGATTTATAAGCCGTACGCCGGGTATGGTTTCAGGTTTCTTGAGGACCACCGTGGCGTGCATGTACGCTTCCTGCCCGGTGTTTCCGAAAATCGTGTGCAGGGTGTTCTTCCCTGTAGGAGTCCGAGTTGCGTGTGGATTTCATCTTTGAAGGACGTGTTCCTTCCCCTTCTGGGTTGGATTTTCGGTGAAAAATTATTTGTAGTTCGTGTAATACAACCTTTTGGACGAATGCACCCTCTTATATTCAAGGATTTGTGATGAACTCGGATTCGTTTGGTTTCTTTAGGTTTCTAGTGCCATCTGGCCGGGAAAGTGCCTCCGTAAGGCTTCGTTGGGTCATTTGTGCATTGAGCGCCGCCACCAACGGGCACTCTTATTAGTGATACACGTAAAATGGTGGTCGTTGGCTTGTTCGCTGAGCTGAGCAATTTGATTGCAAACGTTTCATCACCAATCGAGTTTACATCGTCAGTGCGTTACTGGGGAGCGTAGTAGTGCGCAGCAGTGAGTTGGTGGTTGTGACAAAGGTTTTAACGCACATGTTGTGTTAGAGCAGAGACTTCAACAAAATGACGAGAAGTAACTCGTTGAGTTGACTGAGCAGAGAGAATTCTCCACAAATTTGCACAGGCGAAAAGCGGAAACAATTTTGAACGTACAGCGTCCCATATAAACGATGCAATGAACTCCTCATTTCGTTCTACTTTGTTTGATTTATAACACACCTTGACGAGCAAGAAGGCGCGGAATGAAATCCTGTCACACCATCACTATCTTTATCGTCTTGCTCAAAACTATGTTCCAACTTCATATATATTTAAAGTTGCCTCCAATCTTGTATGACTGCCTCCCGCCTTTCATTTTGTCAGCTTTGAAATCTCACGTAGTCCAAATTAATTCTGTCAAATTCTAAAACGTCCCAGATATCGAGCAAAACCAGTGAGCTCGCCTTTATTTTGGCTAGGTTTGATGTTTTGTGACTCTATATTACTCACTGTCCGATTACAAGGCATCCACGTTACAACCAGGTTCACAGGCTAATGCCCATTACACTTTGTTTAATTTATTTAACGGACCTCATAACTTTGAGCCATTTGAACGCATTTTAAAACCCGGCAGCTTCGCAATAATATTTTATCCATATTTTGCAAACGATTCCGCAGAGCTCACTCAACCAAACCTCGTAGTGCCATTATTAACACTATCCGGGTTTCGGTTGCTTTTTCACTCCTATTTAGCAAACCAGCTTTGGGAGCCAAACAACCCATTTTTGATATATATATATATATATATATATATATCTTGTGGTTGCACACAATGCGCACAATGTTTGTACCTCAATATGGTACCTTTGTTTATTTACAAAAATCGTTTCCATACTGATGAACTCACGGTCTGGTCAAATGCCTTTTTCGGTGATCAACTCTCAGCAGTTTCTATATAGGTCCAGTAAGAAGATGCATGCGATGAGTCCTAGAATTTGCTCGGGTGTCATTATGAGTGGTCCATCACCTCACCCACTGTCCCATGTCCACCCAAAACCTAGGCATCGCAATAGTTCATAAGCTATATACTAAACGATACTTATCTCGGACATAAAACAAAATCTCATGCACCCACATTCAACCGGAATAAATAGATATTTTTGCAATTTTTATATTAATTCTAACTCCACTGCAAAAGCACATGGGGTTATGGTGATTCACTGTCCAGCGCACAGATGATATAAATGGCTCTCTAAAAGGGAACTCGGAAAAGTTTTGGTCACTGGGCATTATCCGATACGGATGCGGGTAAACCTTAACTGGTGCGATCTAGAAGCAGTGCGTAACTGAGATGGGCAAAAATAAAATTATGTTGCCCGGGTCCAGTGGTGAGAGCAAGAGATTTTGCTGCGGTGGTCTGTACTGCGCAACTTTTTGTCCCAAGAGACAACGGGTTGATTGGTACAAGCTGTATTGCGTAGGTGACGGTGCGACCGGAAAGCTAGCATACTGAGAACGAAAGAAATCAGTACATGTATAAGTAGAGATCCGCACCCAGTGTACGCCGCTAATCGAGGCTGGGAAATGCAAATCCAGACGGCGAATTCAGAGCAGGTTGCCTGGAAGCTGCTAGGAAAAGGCAACCGTCTAAAGACTGAGTTAGTAAGCATTTGTGTTGCATTTGAGACCCATGAAGTCAGGAGAGAATACTACACGAATTGTGCGGAATCCTCTGCCGCAGTGTCATCGCCAATATTAGAGCCGGTGGCGTCACTTTGTAAGTATGGTATTCGGACGATGTTCCCATTTTTGTCCAGATACAATGTAATTGGTGGACCGGCAGCAGTGTCCAGTTGTTCACCTGACGAAGTGACAACTCAGAGACCTACGAAAGAGTGAAACTGCGCCTAATTATTCGGATTAATTTAATCAGCAGTGGGGGTTACGTTAGTCCTCAGAATCAGTGCCATGCGTGAAATCAAGTGGCTATTTTATCCAAGACATCGTCAAAAACTGATTCTTCGGCTTTACTGTTGTTATCAACGGAAACAATAACTCCACTGGACAGGTCCAGGGGGTCATCACTATCAAAAAAGCCAAGCAACCACGCGAGAAATGCATGCTTCTCTAATATACAGGGATCGTCGTTTTGCCAGATGGTCATAGTGATAGCAGGTGATAATTGGAGGCGACCAGCTAGCGGTGCAGTATCGCAGCCTTGTTATTTTCCACGTTGCAGAGAGCCCATTGTGGCGCGCAACGTCATCTACCGTCAAGGTTTCTTCCTTTACCACGATGCCGGTTGAATTAATATCCCTGCGTAGCACATAATCAAGACGACTGTCCGATACAAGGCAGACCCAGCCAATTAGTGTGTTGTAACTTTAACCCGTTGGCAGTATTCAACCAGGCATACCCGTCTTGACCCTAAGAGTTTGAAGGTTTACCTTTCCACCATCCATCGTGATTCGGCTGTCTAGAGGTAGCAACAAACTACTGCGGCTTCAAGGAGTCCCTCGCTGCCGTCCACAAAAGACCAACATCCACACTTTCAAAGGATCTCCACGAAACACTCGAAGCCTCTACCTCGGAAATAGGGTGGCGAGTTGATGACTGGCATCTATTTATTTTGGACGGAATGCTAAAACCACGCAGCCGAACTCTACTGCCGCCGGCTGAATTTTTATACGCCTAGCTTGCTTCTACAACCACAAGATTGGCATCGGCCCTTCATCTGGGTTACCCTGTCCTCAACTTCTTGAAAACAGTCAGCTACCAACACCGTCCTATCAACCCCTATAAGCGAACAAATAGCCTCCTGTCGAAAGAGGAAATGATTGGCACCGCATTAGTTTTTGAGCAGCCCAATGGCTGTGGAAAATGCTCCGATAACACTATAGAGCTAAACATCCTACTTTGAGGCCAGGATTCCATCAATCGAGGCCTCCATTTGATTTCATCTTTCACATTTTTATTTCCTTTGAATTTAACTTCCTTAATTTGACCCTCACCTCCGATACTCTTCACCAACGCCTGCTCATCAGCCGCCTGTTTTCTGCGACCGTGGGTAAACAGTCAGACCCCACCATATCGTACTGTTTTTTGGCACTGAACAAACCCTCCGCTACCTAGAGCTTGAAATAATCTTTGCATTTACTGAATGACGAGGTGCAACAGCCGCAATCTTGAACAAACATGGCCGCTCCTCACGAGATTTTCAATTTGGCTGAACCTTGCAATCGATGAGGACGAAGCAAGTGGACCGCGATAGACGCCTCACCGTTTTCACTTCTTGTAACTGAGCCTGTTTCACATGTGACTTTGATGCCTCTTTCTTGATCCGGTGTGTCTCCCATATGACCACCTCCCATCTAAACCTTGTACATGTGCTCTGGTTTGTCTCGCGCCCCACGGAAAATAGTTGACCGTTCGCCCGCAATAATAGTAAGGTTTTATTATCAGCGGACTGAGGAAAGAAATTTTCATGCGTTTCGCGGCAACACATACCTGACCGAAATCCCTTTTATCTACTCTATCCGAGGAGATCAACTGCTCAAAATCCTACTGGGCATGCTTAGAGCCCGTAACAATTGTTCTACACTATCCTTCTAAGAGCACCCAATAGGATAGAATGATGTAATGACACCACCAGTAGGACGAGCTTATGGGAGGCTGATAGCAAACCCCGCATCGTCAACAGGTTCAACTTATTATCCGCGACCGCGTTAGTGCTGTTTGTCCCAACAGCATCCTACCGAATTTTCCCAAAACATGCACTGTCGTGCTTCCAGTTCAACTTTCAGTTTCCCCTCCTTCTTTTCTCTACACGGAGTATGCCCTCTTTCTGTTAGACTGAAATTAATCATCCCGCTAAAAAGATGGGAGTCGATTGAAACAAATTCACTGCTCAAACACATCAAAGTTTTCATAGCGTTCAGTGCATAGAAAAAAATTGGAAACCAACCGGCTCCTGCACCCAGCTCAGCGGGGCACCCCTTTTCCATTCTTACAGCATGAGTCCACAGCCAAATGCGATAGATCTTCTGTATATCCGTCCGACAAACAGAACATTTATTTCCGCGTTTCGATGGTTCATCGCCACAGAGACTAGGAGTTTGAGATATTTCTGATCCTTCTCCGCGACTCCCGCTAACGAATGACCGAATCGATTACTTTGCAAAAATTTTCTTAGTCCCAGTTATTTCGTTTTTTCCAGGTTATTTGCTCGGTGACAGAGAGTCACAGCCTTTTATGGGTTCCTTGGCTAAAACTTCGCGCTAATGTGTTCGAAACTGTGAGCTAAGGAACAAAGGAAATTGATACTGTGCTTCAGAATTCTTCCACCACGAGCGACTCTTGTGCGTAAACCACTACTTCCTAAAATGCCTCACAGTTACCTTCAATGCAACGGAAAACTTTCCACTCCGGATTCAGTGACCCTTTTTCGGCCCCGCCCCATAACAGCGACCTCCGGGGGCGAACTTCAAACCGTTCCAGCATGTGCACATTAGTCTACTCAAAAAACAGTTTGACGGTGCATCATCTCGGTAGCAGGTGTAGTATACGGCGTCTACCAGTTTATATGATTCGTGTAAGTATTGGTGATGTGCAGCCTAGATCACTGGGCCTTGGTTAATGGACTTCCTTCCTGTATCCATCGACAGAAATTTTCGCGAACACCTGCCCCCAGGGAATCCCTGTCCCTCAGTGCATACTTCGCAGGCACCAATGTCTGTTCTTTTATCGTGCCGGTCAAACGAGAGATATAGACAGTAAGTTTGAATGGGAAGTAGGTAATAAGTGTGTAGAGGAGGCCTTTAACAAAAAATTGACTGACTTATCCTGATGCCGGATCTTCTCATCTTCCCTTTATTTGTTCCCGCCGCAACACCGAACCGAATATGGGGCCGGAAACTGTGGTCGGTGGTCTGTTTCTCATACATGAACCGCCACTATGTTAATTTTAATTCAAGGTTAATTCAAGGTTTAATGGTCTAAAAAGCGATTAACTTTACAAGGACCATAGGGTGAACGTATATACAAAAAAGAACGCAAAAATATGCGTAATGTTTACTGAGTATCACATGGAGTTAAATAGTTCCAGATTCGGTTTGGACATAAGATGTGCATCTAAATTGTTCTTGAAAATGGTTAAACTCGGCGAATGTACAACATTGGGAGGTAGGGAGTTCCAAATGAAACATACGCGGACCGCAAAAAAGTTCCGTCGACAGTTCACCCTCGAGTGAGGTACCGCGAGCGAAAAGTTATGCCTCCTGCCCGTTCGTGTTCGACGTCGGACAAAAAGGTCTTCCAGCGGATGATTAGGTGTCTTCAGTATATTATATGTTAGAATTAGGTCTCCCCTGATGCGCCGATAGTAGAAGTCAAATAGGTTGAGACTGGCAATCCTGTCTTCGTATGGTTTATTTTGCAATCCAATTACCAGCTTCGTGGCTCGATGATATATTCGCTGTAGAAGAATTATGTCTTTTTGAAGCCATGGTGACCAAGCTTGTATAGCGTATTCCATGGTTGGTCGGATGTAGGTATTG